ATTATTCCTTCAACACACAGTGCTTCCAAGAAAAATGTGCAGCTCTAAATTTCCTTTAAAAAAACCGTGAATGAAATTAACTTAGAGATACGAGTATCAAAGACATATGGAGACTTGTTTAAAGCGTACAGGAAACCTCCTCATATTTACTTCCAAAAGCATGCAAAGAAATTAGCCAAGATATATGAATATCCATAACATATCGAGATTTGTTCAAAACGTATATGAAGCCTTCAGTTATATGATTCGAACAGTATGCGATGGGTTATTTAACTTTCATTTTGTTTATTTGGGAACTGAAAGTTTACTAGGCAAAGAAATTCAAGACCTCTTTACCCCTCCCCCCTCCTCCATTATCTCATAAAAGTGTTAATTGTCCACTCAAGTTTTCCTAGAAGTCGATTTTCTAATTTCTCGAGATCTGTTGAAAAACCTTTCGGGGGGGGGGGGGGGTGTGTGGGCTGATCAGATCGATTTCGATTTTCACACTTGCAAAAAAAGCCACCGTTACGAAAAAAGCTGCTTGAGAAGTTGCTTGCTTAAAGATAGAAAGAAGGTAAATTGCTATACTAAATTAAGAAATAGATAAAAGATACTAAAAAGACCTTTCCAAGAGTCTGAAGGGCGTAACTGATAAAATTTGTTTTCGTCCACCCCAGTTCTTTTGAGCAAGCGACACCACTGTTCGGCATGTGCAACCTTGTTTCCTTAGTAAAACCAAGATTCCTGGACATTTGCTTGTTTGCCGGGAAAATTGGAAATGAGTCCTCAAGGGAAAGTGAAAGAAAGGTTCAAGTGGGAAGTGGATGAAATTTCGGCAAACCACGGATATCATGTCACTCGTGGATCAAATTAATGGAAACAGTTATCTTATTAAGCATCCGTTGTGAGCAGACTTCAACTACTTTAGCAATTAAACTAATCTTATACAAGATATTTTATAAAAAAAATTCTTTGACTTTTCCAAATAAACTTGAAAATTGAAGAATAGTAATGAAAGAAATGTCGATAGCCAAATAAAATGATATAAATAAGTAGACAACGTTAACTCCTGCCTGATCTTTATATATGTGTATGATCAACAACTCTTGCAAGACTTTTCTTGTTCTGAAGTTAACAGCTTTTTAAAATAGGTTTTGTTGTGGCTTTATTTGGAGCTAGAATTCCATCCAAACCTTAACAGATTTCAAGCCTTCTACACGGCCGAGAACAGACAAAATGGAAATAAACAATTTACATTGAGCAACTAAATTCACCAAAATCGTGGCATAAAAATGAAAAAATATCAACTAGGAGTTTTTAACATTAATTTCTGTGTGTGGTATTAAGTATCAAGACTTTAATAAAAAAATCCCTTTGAAAAGCTTTTGAACAAAATTTATTAGCATAATCTTCAATTGAAAATATGAAAACATTTTCTATGAATAAGTTTCTGACATTTGAAATATAAAAGCCATCGATGGAATAGCTGCAAAATATTTTCTTCTTCGTTTTTCAGGGAATAATGTTTGTTGCACCTAGCTTGGTCGTTTCATGATCAGAGAGAGCTTTTACAATTGTTGTTTGACCAACACAGAGTTAAAGAGATAATGAGATAACGGTGTTGGGAGAGGATCTGATTCACACGCACTCGATTTATCGGTTTTTGAATGGCTCCCGCGAGCAGCTTTGCGTCACAGATCTCTAAGGATATTCATCCATTTCGCAACAGAAGTCTGGCTTTTTACGTAAGACATGGATGTTTAATCCAGTTACGGGCTTTTTGTGACTTTTAGTTGATCTCTTGTCAAACCAAGTAATATTTGCTAAATAATATTTGCGTTGCATCCAGCACAGTGCCAGTTACTGTCACGTTTAAGAGACAAATAAACGAACAAGGTTTAGTAAACTGCTGCTTTTAAATATACTAACCAGGGATGTTGAAAGCATCTGAAAAATGAAGGGAACAAAAATTAAAAATAACCCTTTTCAAAGGTATGTTTTCAAACAAGGAACCGCATAGGCCACACCCATTTTCATTATTAGGAGCTACAGCTTTTTGCTTCGGACAGGAGCCCTGAAGAAATCATAAAATCATCAGTTATAACAGAGAGTATAACACCAAAGTTAGGTACTTTAGAAATACGAAAGGGTTTTTTCAAAACTGAAAGGGTACGTTTACTTAGAGCGCAATATATTTAAAATTACGTCCCCCTTGCTCCTGCATGCTCTGCAGGAGCCAAAAGAAATTTTTCCCGAAAGCAGAGACTCCATGCTACTGATGAAAATAAAGCTTGCAACCAAAAAACTGTTTATGCTTCCATATACTTTCTAACAGTTACTCGACAATAGCAGGTGAAACAAAAATCCGGATAGTAAATTTCATGTTCTTGATGGAACAGTAACCTTTCTGATGGAAAAGAGTCAGTTAGCCGGGAAATCGCCTTTAGGTAGAAAAGGTAGGAAAAATATCAGATCACTGCCCTTAGCAAGGACAGAAATAGTATGCAACTGGGTAAAAAAGGAATAAGAACCACATTAAGCAATTTCCGTTAAGCCTTCTCCATGACCAGAAGATCGCGTTGCAGTTGCTCACTGCAATTATAGAGTTCTAGAGTGATTACGTCACAAAAATCGTTTATAGAAATTTCGACTCTGGTTCACACAGCATACATAAAGAAATATCCCTATAAGTGCGAAATCAGCTAGAAATCTTAAAAATTTCTTGAGATATGACCAGATAAGCACAGTCTCTGCCCGTCGAATCACTTTTTCATAACCATGGGTGTAGCGGAGGCTGGACGTTTAGGGAAAGGGGGAGGGGGAGGGGGTACGGGTCTTGCTCGATCATTGTTGCTTCATTGAAAAAAGTTAGCCGAATTGGCCTAAAATCGATAAATTTTGCTTGATTTGAGGAACTGCAGCCCTAAGCTCCTATGCCTATGTTCATAATTTGATGAATAAAGCCAAAATCCATTAGCAAACTCTCAATCTTTCATTGCCCGTATCTCAATCAGTTCTGAACATTTTCAACTGATTTTTAGTATTGTTTTGTGGTGCTCTTTCAGGTTATGTGGTCAAGAGTCAAGAATTTTAAAAATATATTTTTATTACGCCACACCTTAGAACAGAGCTGTTTAAAGCTGCTGCGATTTCGCAAATTTGATGCATTGTCAATAAGTTGAGAAAGAAGGCGCAAAAAATAAAAATCTGACAAACTTTGATTTCATAACACTAGTTGTCCCATCCTGTGTATTGAACATGAGAACAGTTGCTAGAAACCAAAGAACCGCGTGATTTAATGACAGGCCAACTCTTACTTCTATTAAAGCTAACTGCCTTATGGTCTGTTAGTGAAACATGAATAGAAAATTGACAATAACATTATTGATTTCTTCAGAAAAAATGCGTTTCCTTGGTTCATTGAGACAGTTTAATCTAGAACCGTTAGTTCATGTCTTCGTTTTTCATTGATCAATTGAAATCAAGATAGCGATGAGGAATTTTATTTACCAAACTCAGAGTGTTTGTGGCAGCTGTTTTGAAAGAATTTTTCTTTTGGAAAACACAAGTCAGCAACAGACTAAGAAGAGAAACAATTTGATAAACAGTAGATTTGGCTCAACCAAAAACAAAATGCTCTTGCTAAAACCGTCACAATGCATGCAAAGACATGCCGTTTATCAGTGTCATTTTATTACTTGCAAAACACAACAAACATTTAGGCAAAAATATAAATTTTTGTACCCCTGAACAAGGAATGTTTGCTCCCCAGACTGAAAGATAGTGTAACCTTCCAGGATGTTCTATCAAATATATACTAGATTTGAAATTCTTCATTGCTATAATCTAAAAGATAAATTAAAAATATAGATGGATTTGGGTTATAGAATCAATAGGATTAATATGCAGGGGTTAATATGTTTGCGAAGGTGTTTTTCCTACTATTACAGCTATCTTGTCCTTTCTTTTGCTGATCCTCATATTTCTTGAAAATTTGTGATTTTGAGCCAATTATAAGCTTAAACAATTCTTAAGCGACAGAATATGCGAATACTGTAAGAATCAAAATAGAAAATTCAATCTCTGCTACTGTTCTCATTCATCGTAAAAAAAATAAGAAATGAAAGACATTAGCAGTATACAAGCTTTTAGTAATATATCTCAAGCCTTTTGCGTCCAAATATCCAACTGTCGATTAAACTGAATTTGAAGCCTGAAATTTTTTTTTATTTTCGAGCTTCCATTCTTTTTATCAAATTGTTACATAAACAAGGTAATGAGTAGACTGGTTTAAAGGGCAAAACTCATATATCTTTTATATTTTAAAGTTTTATATGACTTCTAGTATATGGATGTGGGACGATAGATTGCCCTAGCCATCTTTAAAGAGAATTTGAAAAAGTTGTTCAGGGACTGAATGAGAACTATAGAAAGGCAAATTTTTCCATCAGTTTAATGAGCACCCGAGCACCTTATGCAAACATCAACGTATGCAGCTATGCATGTTTTTAAAAAGTCAAAGATCCTTCAAGCCACAGTGTTTTTTTGGTAGACAAACGGTTTGCCTCTTCGCCTTTCCTTCATGAATCTAACCAAAAGAAATTTTCAGATTTTTTTTACAATATCTACTGATTCTCAAATCCATTTACAAGTTAAAACAAGTGGACATAGGACAAGTAACATGTATACGAAATCTTCAATAGTGGAAGCATGACCGACCTAGATGGTGGAACCATTTCTGTGCCAAATGGCTTCCAAAGAAATTTTATTTGCCAAGGCGATGTTCCTAATTCAGGCAAATCATGGAAAATCAGTCGATACGTTACGATAGTGACATTTGACGATAATCTAGCTACGAACCTATTAGCAAAGCTTTAGGTGGTTTAAGCGTGGTTAGCGCTTCTTATGGGAAAACGGGCCGAAATGAATAGAGAATAATCATAACTGTACGACGCAAAAGAGGAAATGGTGAATCTCCCGGGGCAAAGCCATTAATTGTTTTCGCTCCTACGCAACAAAGGTTCTTCTTAAGGCTGCCACAGTAATGTAATTAACAATGTATTAAATTAGCGTGGGACAGAAAGAGACGAAACGGAGCTCCGCCTTGCACGAGGGTAGTGCAAATAAAAGAGGTGTTCACGCAGAAAGCCAGCAAACCCCACTGCCGACTGGCGAGTTCGGACATCGTAATTCCTGGCTTAGGAATCCAGCTCAGACTTCTTTGCCGGTACCCAAGACAGAACGAGAGGATTTTCTGTAGATGAAAATGCATTTATACAACGTCAAGCCCTTTCACAAGGCTGTTTTTGTGTTTCATTTGTTAACAACATTGGCAGTTGCAGATTCATCAAAAGATGGCAAAACAGAAGGAAAGCATCAAGCTGTAAGTCTTCATAACGTTTATGATTTAGTACTATATTTTGCAAATTTCTTTGACATTTGCTTTCAGTGATCTAAAAATATTCCTTGAAATAGAGTTTGTAAAAGGGTTCTTTTTAGCAAACATCTCATCATTTTTAGCAAACATCAATTTCGTATCAATCATATTTCGAACGCATTTGGATAGTTTACCCTGAATTCGAGAAAGGAAGATTGCCATTTATTTTTTTCTCGATTTTTTTCTCGGTGTCTTTGCTCGGTGGCTATTCATCGTCATGACCCTTCGGGTTTGAATTCGAATTGATTAAAGTCGTTGAGGTTTCCCCTTGCAGCCAACTTTTATCATTTCCGATATTTTATCAACTTTTTGTTACATATAAACGCTTTTCAAAAAGTGCCGTCGCTATGGGTTCAAACCTCACTTTTATAACACATATATTTACGTCTTTTAAGTCTACAGAAAATGACGCATCGGCATTGCACACAGAATATGTGGTTTCAGTATCTAAATTTTGCAGACATTTGTGATCTTTTCATGCACTCGCATCTATTAAATTACCTATACAGACCACTCGCAAAATAAAGCTATTTTCAATGCCATTGGCTCGAAGTCTTTATTGTCACCAACAGTTCAGTTGTATCTAAATTTTACTTGATTTTTAATTTGTTAGGCTAAACAAACCTAACTCTTATTCTGTGGCAAACAAAACCTGAAGCATGCTTCGAGATATCGGAACGTGAATTTTGATGAATGCAAATCTTTGATCTGTTCCGCTGAAAAACAAATTAACAAAACGATACAGTAAATAAAAGGGCTAAGTTATCTACACTGAAGTCACTATGCAACAGAGCTCGTTCAGATTGCTCGCTAAAACCAGACCTTCGACCCGGGATGTTTTCGTTTTTAAAAGTTCTCTAGCAATCTCTTCAATATGAAACCACATTAAAATTTGAAAGACTGTGTCAATCAGCACTTCACCAGATACATTTACGGGTCGATAATCTTCTCATTTAGTGTCTGCAAATTTAGTTTACGGCGTGTTTCATTTATGTTTATAACATTTGTGTTGGAAGGGGGATAGTGTCGTTGCTTTATCTTTATTAGAAGTGGCTAGTTAACACATTTTTGAATTAAGAAATTTATGTCACATATTGCACAATTTTATCATCATTTGAGCATAGAGATTTTTCATCATTTTATAGTTCTAAGTACTTCCTTTATAAAATTTGGGAAACATTTGAGTTTTTCCTTGTTAATACTGGTATACAAAGAGGTCCTGATTGCTTATGAACTGTCATAAAAAATATCTTGTTTATGTTTGGTATCATAGTGAATTCGCTTCAGTTATATTAATTCTCGAACTCTGTAATAAGAAAAGGTCTTATGAACACTAGAACAGCTTTTCACAGTACAGCCTTTGCATAGTTTTAGGCAGATCTTTAACAGGGATAGACGCGATGAGTTCTCGATGTCATTTGAAGAGATATCACTAATAATAATATAGAAAAAAGAATATTTAACCAAGACTTAACTCATAAGGTGTAAATTGCATATATCAATCATATTATACTGTATAATATATCAATTGGGGTCCTGAGCTTTAAACAAAATCATGACCCATGTCACGCAGCGCACAAGAAAGATCACATTCAGAGAATAAGAAGGATTTGTCGAAATTGTGCTACAAGAAGCAGCTTAACAATATCCTTTTAACGGTGCCCATAAGAAATGAATCTCGTTGCGCGGTTTAGGTTTTCAAAAACGGTGACCATGCGATATACGATTTCACAGATGGAAATGCTCTGGGCACAAAACGATAAAGTTGGCTTTTGAATAAATGGAGTGAACTATCGTTGTTGATTCATCTATTGTTTTACCGATGCAACAGGAGGCAAAGGTGTATGAATCTCTGGGTGTGGTCAACCCCACGCATCTCACGTTGAATTGATCTTTCCTCTTGTGCTTTCAATGTGGTGAGTTCAACCATAGCAAGTTCAACGCAAGGACTGCACTTTGAACTTCAAAGTGGGGGAGGCGTAATCAAGAAATATGGCGGTTATCGCATATTGACAAAAGACTGTCATTAATAATGGAAGGGGTGTCTACTGGTCCTACCCCTTTGGCACAGCCCTAGCCAAAGCTATTCACAATACGAGATTTATTTCAGGCAAAGATTTGATCCATAGAAAAAAGGACATTCACTAAGGGTGAATAAGGTAAGTGATGTTTATCTGGTCTGCAAAGAGAATTGAAGGCATACTTAAAACCAAAAGTTGTGGGTACAAAGGAGGCACCGCATGTTTTTCAAACTTATCCATTTTGACATCAAGCTGTAATCCGTATTGCTAGCTCTAAAAAGCTCCTTTTTGTGAAACATTCCTCTGGGTATATATAATTCCTAGGGTAGAGTTTTCGATCTATGTTCTGACGTTTTATACTCTGAAGAGTGTCAGACGAAAATATACTCAAACTTTTGCTTTTTCAAAGCCATTAGTAATAGCTATCATAAATAGAAATCTTAATTATCATATTTGTGACTCCTGAAAACACCGTGCTGTGAAAAACTGGACTGTAAAATTTATTTGGAGAATATCCAGCACAAAACGAGGATACGATTGAAAAGGGCATTCCTACGGAAGCAATCTTTTGAGTTTACTGAAAAGGCATCGCTGCCTGTGCTTAGTTACTGTAAAAAATTATCTACCTAAAATCTTGAATATCATCCTCTTTAACTTGGGCATGTCAATTGACTATGAGCAGACAAGCTGTTTATGAAAAGATATGTCGAAAATCAATTCATTGAAGAAACGTGTAATCTACACGTGATCGCCTGCTTACAATATTAATTGAACAAAGCATCAATCAAAGAGCATCAGGTTGTGCTCTTTGTTGAATTTCTAGAGCCGATTTAAGTCGCAAGAAAGTAGGCAGTACTGATTTTGCTTAGCTTCTAGCTGATAAGTTCCTTTTTTGGAAGCAAATGGGTACCACCATGTTAATTTAAGGGTATGTTGGCGTAGTGGGGTATGCACCTCCTGCATGTTTTGGTCACAAGTGCTTAGCCATAGACGCTCTCACTCGACGAGGTTAGAGTTTCGCAGAAGATTTTTCGGTTGCCTTGTTGCCGGAGAGGGTGTTAGGGAGTCTTCCAGCCACTCTATCTTTCAAAATTTTGAGATGCAATTGCGGTTTGGTCCAGTGGCTCAGACTATTGCTTACGTGGGTAGGACCAATTTTGGACTGTTGCAAGGGATGGTCCAGCATCATCCCAATTTTCATGAAAAACATGACGCCCATATTTTTGTAACTGACTGGCCCTCGCTATAGTGGTGTGTGGGAAAGAATGTGACACCTCTCTAGGGAAAAATTACGTTACAAAAACGATAAGGTTTTGGAATGTATGGGTGCTTCGTCGGTGAATTTTTAGACTTGTAGTCAAAGCAAGGATGCCTCATACAATTTGTCTGCAAATGAACCCCGAACACACCCTATAGCATAATAGCTAGTGACAGCCCTGGTTAATCAAACTACAAGGTAGAGGTTTGAAGAATTTTTCTGACCACATTCTTCCACTTGCCAAAACGAGGTTAATTTCTTTTCGCAAGGGTAAGGCAATATTCATTTATGTATGTTTGGGCCTTGTCAAAGCGACATTGAATGAGATCTTGGCATTATTTGCGTGCAAAAGGGGCGTAGTTGTGGAAATTATCGGGTATTTCAGGCACTTGGGTGAACCAGAAACGCCAACAACATTCAGATTATTCTCTGGATCCGCCCTGGCTGCGTTGATGGTTTTAGCTTCAATATACCTTAATTACATATCGCACTTTGTACTGTCAATTTTGGTAGCATCCTTCCAGAGGTTTGCTATGTGTGGCACGTGGCATTCTCTTTTAATTTTTCATTACTTTTGCAAGGCCTTCAAGGCATATGCAGGCTTAACAGTTTCTGTGCAGCCATCATTATCTCAAGTAAGTTTATCCGAATATCGCTCTGCATCTGCATCAGCTTTGCCTAATAAGAGATACCAACAATGGTGTGTTGCTATTGTTGGTATAATCGTTCTTTAGACCAATTCAAGAGAAGATAAAGATTATTATTATGTATAAGGTGACTAGCGAGCGAGGAAATCTCTACTTGTAACTACTATATCTACTGGAAAGTGATTGTAGCAACTGAATCCTTCCCCTGTGCTGGACTAGACCAGCAGTATATTACCACGATAAAATCATAATCTATTAGCAATTAAAAAGGCCCTTCAAGGCTTATTTTAAGAATGCAAGAATTGCTCCACACCTATTTTACGTTATACCTGCAGTCACTCAAAAAACACGACCAAGAGCGAAAATTCCCATTGATAGATCACTAGCTCAAATGATCAGAATCGAATTAACAGACTGATCTTACAATTAATCCGTTGTATATGACTGACTGGTCTCGTTTAAGTCTGTGATGACCCTTGGACTAACAACTTCTTTTTTAATGTGTAAGCAAAACTACAATATATTGACACTGCTTTCTTGGTCTGCACCATTTTAAGTGACTATACTGATACGCATATTCATATCTATTGCGAATTAATAACGAAATAAACGGAATGGGAACTTTGCAAAAGCGAACGTCTTCGACAGGCAAAATTTCGACTTTGCTGCAAATAAGCAGCTCCAACTTTAAAACGAGATCATTTAACTCCAAAATATCCAATTTATATACTCAATGTAGCATACTTTAAACTGAATAAAATTATGCCAGATCAGTGTTTTCCAGTCTACTTAGAAAATTTCCAACTTTTTATAACCTAGAGATTCACGAGTCCGTAATCCTTCAGGCTCAAAATCCTTACCATACTTGTGCATATTCGCTTTTAACAGTTTGTTACGAATGTGGACTAGCTGTGGTCTGTTTTGGCTTCATATGGAGAGTCTCAATGTAGTTGGTAGTCTGTGATAATCTCTACTCAAAAGTTTTTACGACAGATACACACAGGACTAATTTCAAACAAC